TATGGAAACACATCAGCCTCACCGAAACAATAACGATCTCAGCCGTTAGTATGGAAACACATCAGCCTCGTTGAAACAATAACGATCTCAGCCGTTAATGTGGAAACACATCAGCCTCACCGAAACAATAACGATCTCAGCCGTTAATATAGAAACACATCAGCCTCACCGAAACAATAACGATCTCAGCCGCTAATATGGAAACACATCAGCATCACCGAAACAAAGACGTTAACAAATTCGAAGAAAATATAGTTAATTATAGGTGTTATATGTTGACATGTAAACCGCACATACATATATATACAATTAACCATAAACAAGGCTAGTTCACACAATATATAATACAGAACGAGTTTGATATCGACAACTGTGTAACAAGGTGAAAGAGATGAACTAAACGACTAGTTTTAAGATACTTGTATAATTCGTCGGTTATTTTATATAAAAATCAGCATTTTTTCTAAAATGAATGAATATGTTGGGATGAACAAGTCAACTGACTACATGACATATACCAACTGTCTATATAGTACGTCAGGGGTATTAAACGTAAATCGTGTTTTATCGATGTATTAATATATATAATCATTACACAATAGGCCAGTACCTACATGATCTGCCAGTATCCCTGTCACTAGAATGGCTACAATCAGTGCTCCGACCATGGTTGGTGGTGATCAATACCGCTGGCCAGGTAGAAAATGGCTTGGTGAAGGGACGGGCGACCTGACGTCTAGTTCCAAGAAGATTACGGAGAAACCTGCCCTGGACACGATCGAACTTAAACCACACGAGACAGCTGATAGTCCTAAAAAAACTAGCGCTGATCATGTCACCTAACCTCTGTGACATTGGGCTGTTTTATCTCTTGCAGGACGTTGTCAGGTGGATAGAAAACGTCCTCTGTGATAGGCACTGTCACAGATAAAGACCGGTGCTAACTCCCTACAAGTACTGATAGGTAAATCTAGTATTAGCTGGAAATTTAGCCCATCAATTTTTATTCATGACATACGTTATTGTATCAAAAGATTATACGCTTGTTTCGTTTATTTCAGATTACAATAGTTTCAATGGAAGCCAAATCAGCCAAAGATCAGCAAAAGATGTTTTATATATGTAGGTTATGGTCTACCATACATACAGTTAAGAGGTGCCAGACAAGTTTATGATTACAAGTGTTGTAGTTAAACTTGAACGTGTTATAAAAATGGAGTATTACTAATATGACTTCAACCGCCGTCTCTAAAGATGTGAAGATAGTAAAAAAAACAACAACATAAATTTGATACCGACACGTTGTTAGAACGCGACTAAAGAGAACGTTTTAGTTTTATACTCTACCAGGCTGCGTGTCATAAAATATCTTATAATTTGTTCAAATGCGGATCCATTTCACAGTTTACACGATTTCTTTTCTAGATACCCCCCGAACCCTTCCTTCTCCACCCTATCCTTCTCCCTTTCCCCAAAAACATATATATATATATTGTTTACCATGTATTGAGGAGTGGACTATATCAAGTTGTAATCACTTGTTGTCCAATCCATTTGTATCTTCGTACAACAAAATATGTTTAAACTTAAAACGCTTCCTGTGGCCTTACATGGTATACAGTACGTAATACTGTGACCCGGTAAAATGTCGCACATGTTATATCGTAACCTCTATGTACAGTTCACGTGTAATACTGTGACCACGGGAGAACATTTTTATCAATACTTTTACTGGTCATTCCATGACCCCGCGAGAATGTTAACTTGCATATCATGACTTCGGGGGGAAAAGGTATCTTCGTTGCAGGCTATGTTCATATTGACCCACATCCCTGATACCCAAGAGGTTACGCTCACTTACGCTCTCTACACCCCTGGAATATGTCATGACAACATCGATGGCTCAATGTACACGACCTCGTTGATGAGACAAAAAGACTAGTTCGATTCTTTGATGTACACCAAAAGAAGCTCTCAGTCACGTAACGGTAAACTTGATTGCCTTTGAAGTCAGTTGTCGCTGTTATCGTCAAAGGACAGGTATCGGCCTAGCGATTGGTCAGTTTTTGCTTACCTGAGACCAATCAAGCAGCTTGTCGCGTGTCTTCCATTTTTCTGCGACATATTACAGGGGTCGGAGAGCGATAGTGAACGTAACCCCAGGAGAATCGTTGATGATTGACCCGCTACTTATACGAACCATTAATGATGTAATACAGCAAATCTTGTACGTACTCATTTCTGTGTTCAACCTACCGCCTACCCTCCCCATTGTATCACTGACGCTGTCCCTAACTAACGCGCAGTTCTTAATGTTTACTACAGAGCATTAGGACCACATAGAGAATTCGAAATTGTGTGTTTTATGAAATTCGAAATTTCGACTTTTTAATCGTAATTTTGTGATAACTTGAAATTCGACTACATAACTTGAAATTTTTAGCTAGTAAGTCGACATTAAGAGTTAGAAAACAAAAGGCCCAGGGGTCTTAATAGCTCACATTATATTTTATTTTCAATGTAAAACCTTCTGAGTACCATACAGATTTATCTTCTGTACAAGAAGTACAAGTTGCAAGAAGAACTACTTGGGTCTGGACCTCCGGGTCAATCCTGAAGGCATTTTTTCTTTTCTTCATGCCTAGAAATAGTATATTCGGTTAAAGGTTAGAGATAAAACCCCTAAATTTATATGGCAGGTGAATGATGTTATTGTTTTATCTCTATTTTTCGCTATCAGGCCACACCCCTAAGTCCCCTGGAGGCCACACACACTGTTAATATAAACATGAGTTCCACTTGTCAAAGGGTGCTTTAGACCAAATTTGGTTAAAAAGCTTACATGGAAGGAGAAGGATTATAGATATTAAACTCTATTTCCCCTATTGGGCCCTGCCCTATGCCCAATAGGCATACCCTCCATTTATACAAAATTCAGTCACTTTGCCTAAAGATGATCTATAACAAATTTGGTGATAATCCCTCTATTCATACAGAGAGGAAAAGCTTTTAAATGTTTTCTCCTTTGTTTTCTGTTAAAAACTTTGTACAAAGTTGAACCCTTTTCCTAAAGATGCCATAGAACAAGTTTGGTTAAAATCCAGCGTTGGTAAAAATAGAGAAAGATTTTCTTTAATTGATTCCTCTATTTCCTCTATTTGGCCTCACATGCGCCCCTCTACCCAAAAGGGTGGCCACAGCCTAAATGTATACAAATTGAGTCTTTGTACCCTAAGCATGCTTTAGACAACATTTTTTTTAAATCCCTTCATCTGTACAAAAGTTTTTTTCAAATTTTATTTCCCCTATTGGGCACCGCCCCACTTCCCAAAGGGAGGCACATCCTCCGTTTATACAAACTTTAGGCCTTTTGTCCAAAGATGCCCTGACACAAGTTCGGTCAAAATCCCTTCATTGGTACAACAGGAGAAGGATTTTTAATTGTTTCTTCTATTTTCCCAATTGGGCCTCACATGCACCCTACTTCAGAAAAGGAAGGCCACAACTTCAGTTTATATAAATTGCGTCTTTTAAACCTAAGCATACTTCAGACCACATTTGGTTTAAATCTCTCCATTTGTGCAGAAGTAGAAAAATGTTCCTCCATTTCATCCTATTGAGCCCCGCCCTTCTATCTCCAGAGGGGCCACACCCTCCGTTTGTCCATGCTCTAGAACAAATTTGGCCAAAATCCTTCTATTGTTTGCGAAGAAGATTTTTGAAGATTTACCCTTTTTGCCCCTTTTTTAGTCCCGCCCCTCATCCCCCGTGGCCGGCCATATACCCTCCGTTTATAACTGAGAACCCTTTGGCCAATTATGCTCCAGACCAAATTTGGTAAAAATCCTTTGAGCTGTTAAGGACTAGTACATACGTAGCGATTTAAAGGGAAAGTTTGACGGACGCCGGAGCCGGAGACATGCCACCAAAGTAACCAGTTGTCAATTATGTTTTTTATGACGGTAAAGGACGGTGATTTGCACAGTGTCCAGGATAAGCCACCATTTCAACGGGTAATTAAACGCCAATACATCAGTCGTTTACAAACAACACGTCATATATTTACAAAGAAAAATAAAGACACATCGTTGTAAAATCAATTTTGAAAGTGTGAACTGAAATATGATGATATGAACCAACAATGTAATGCACAGAGGTAAGAATTCAAATTCTGGCTGCATAAAGGCTCACTCGTGTAAAAACCGGACTACCCACTCTCCAAGATTGACTGCATGGGCGATCAATTTTAATGTTTCAACGTAAGTAGCACTGGACTTTATAACTACTCATGTATATTCCTTACATACATCACGCGGGCAGCCTGAAGTCTGAAGTGTCGTTCGGCCTTTCACAAGAGCTAGGAACACAAATGCTGACTTTGCGTTTAAAACTAAACTGTATTCATGAATATGTAAATGAGTGGCTTACTTGGGACTTTCTAGGAGTAGTCTAGTTAAACCCTACAAGATTGCCCGAACTGTTGAGGTCGGCGTGTCTTACCGTACACAGCGGTGGTCACTAGTCAGATAGGGCTGGTCACATTAATTCTGTCCGTTTGGTCGCAATCCTGGACGCATGCGCTTACTACTGTACGATTAATGAGAATAGAGGCTTTGGTCGGCAGCAGTAGAGCAACAGCACCACGACCATTGGACTCGAACTAAGTTCCAGTCGTGTGCCAGGACACCGCCTAAACATAGCCTATTTGGTAGAAAGAATAAACGACAGTTGTGGTCAAAAAACTATGATATTTATTAATGGAAATAATATCTCAGATTTGTAAGGATTACTACGAATCGTTCATACCAAATAGGTCCATAATTGTTTTATCTATTTCTCTGAGTATGAAATGAATATATTGGATTGTGTGTAATCCGTCTTAGGACAAGCAGGCCATTTATATTCATCGAATCAGAGATGGCTATCGAGCAGGCTGCAATGGCCGAACTCTGTGTCAATGTAAACATATAGCCATACTCTCAGCCCATGGTATGCCTATAAGGTGTTCAGGTGAAAATGACAACCAAATCTTATTTTGTTTTGATGACTCATATTTTCTTTGTGTGTCAATAAAACCGGTATAATTTCATATTCTGAATTTGGTTTCATGTTTTCACTCCATTCCTTCACACGTGATTCCGGCCGCAAATCTGACGTCATTACAACCGGCAGACATTACACACTTGTTATAATTACAAACATATAGAAGCAGTCATAACAACCGGCAGACATTACACACTTGTTATAATTACAACCATATAGCAGCAGTCATAACGCCCGGCAGACATTACACACTTGTTATAATTACAACCATATAGCAGCAGTCATAACGACCGGCAGACATTACACATTTGTTATAATTACAAACATATAGCAGCAATCATAACGGCCGGCAGACATTACACACTTGTTATAATTACAAACATAAAGAAGCGGTCATAACGACCGGCAGTCATTACACACTTGTTAAAATTACAAACATATAGCAGCAATCATAACGGTCGGCAGACATTACCCACTTGTTATAATTACAAACATATAGCAGCGATCATAACGGCCGGCAGACATTACACACTTGTTTTAATTACAAGCATATAGCAGCAGTCATAACGACCGGCAGACATTCTTCACACGTGATTCCGGCCGCAAATCTGACGTCATTGCAACCGGCAGACATTACACACTTGTTATAATTACAAACATGTAGCAGCAATCAAAACGGCCGGCAGACATTACACACTTGTTATAATTACAAACATAAAGAAGCGGTCATAACGACCGGCAGTCATTACACACTTGTTATAATTACAAACATGCATCAGCAATC